TGCCGCTTCGTCAGTTCAGAAAGAGTCCCGTTAGTACAACATGTGAATTATTTATTTATTTATTTATTTTTTTGGTTTTTGACTTGTGTATGGGTGTTGGATCCGCCCTCTCTGAAGTGTGGGGGGATGTCGGGTGGTGCGGCAAGCCAAACTGTCATCTTCCATCGGTTTTTTTTTTTTTGTGATATTTTTGTGAATATTTAACGGGGCCTCATCCATGCACGGATGACTATTTTTTTTTTTTTTTGTTGTTGATGTTTCTGCAATGTGGTCTATGATCATCTTTAGGGGAAGGGGTTTTTTATAGGACGAGGTGGGGCTTCGTCTTTGCTTTTGGTGTGGGTTGGTTGGCCACTCTGATATGCGCATGTATGTATATATATATGCGTGCGTGTATTGTCCTTTCTTTTTCCTTCTTTTTTTTGGGGGGTTTTGAGGTGGGGCATTTTCTTTACTTCTTCTATGTGAGGTGGTCTCCCTGCTGCGTGATCTGCCTTGACGTGGAGGGGAGTTGCGGCGTGCTGTTGGGCCCTCCACTTCCTCCAAAGAAAATATACATATATATATATGCGCATAAAATACGGGCGCGTATTCTGTGCGGCGGAACTGTCTGTGGATGCATACAGGCGACAAGGGAGGCTGCGTCTCTACCGTGCCCTTCTTAAAAGGGGAAACCGCTTTCCATGACGCTCCTGGCGGGGAATAGTGGCGGAGGAAGTTCGAGGTGCCTTTCGACATCTTCGTAATGATTCAATAACGACGAGGGAGGTGGATCACAAGCTTCTTTTGGTGTGAGAACTGGCTGCCGCTATTCAGACCTACGCCGAGACCATGTACCGGTTGCATTCCCGAGATGAGGTTTCGAGGAGAATGATGCATCATTCCATTGAGCAGCATTGTCAGCGCATTATGGAGATGGAACGGTGTAATGCCGTGGGAAATGCGGCAATAGAAACGCCAGTGGTGACCGAATTCAAGTCATCGGTGTACCATGTGCATCCGGACTGTCACGGGAGGATTGGACAGAAGCCGTTGACGCACAGCCGTGGAATTTGGAGAGCGCGTGGACAATATGGATCCGATGTTGGCGGTCCCCGACAGAAGTTTTGTGCCCGTCGCTACAAGGCCTTATTCCCACAGGGTTGGGAATTGCGCCAGCCTCTGCGTGCGAGTGTGTGTTGACCCTTTTTTGCCGCGTTATTAGGCCTTGGGGTGCTGTTGTTCTCTTCTTTGCCTTCCTGCTTGCGTCTGTGTGGATTGCCTGGCGAATACGCGCCGCTGTTGTAGCGGAGGGGAATGACAGCGGGATTTGGCCTGAGAGGGGCCCTGGTGCGTCTTTTTTGTGGCGAGCGGGACGGCGGTGAGCTTCACGACGCGGAGGTGTTCAACGCCGTTGTTGGCTCCGCAGTTGTTGTCGTTGTGCCGCTGTTGTATACATCTTTGCGAGCGTTGGCAGGGAGGCGCAGGGTATTGATTGTGCGGACAGCCCAGTCGTTCTCAGATATTTCTGCGGACGCCAGGGCCGTTGTTGTTGGTGAGGAGTCGACCTGCTCGCCGTTCCTCCCGACTTCACGGTCAGTTTTGTCTGTATGGATTATTATCGACGCAGAGCGAGCCGCAGATGTGGAATTCGCAAAATTATTTCTCATGGAAGTGGTGTGTGCGTGCGTGGATGGGGCCTTCCGGGGTCTTATGCGGACACGCTGTAGGCGCCGCATGTTTCGCGTGTGTGTTTCTCTTGCGCGCACCGCAGTTGGAGCGGATGCTGTTGTTCGTCTGGCGAGCAGTGAGGGTACTGGTTGCTGTGGTGTTTCTACCGTTGCTGTCGAAGTGGCGGTGAGTCTGTCGGCTCCCAGCCTGTTTCGCCTGCGTCATGGTGCGTTGCTGCGGAGGGAGAGTCGACTCCATGACGCCGCGTCTCGCTATCTAGGCCCGGGTGTTTACTTGGACAGCCGTTGGAGGTCCCCTGAAGTGGCAGACCGCGTTTGGCGTGCGATGGCACCAAAGGGTTTTGCCACAATGCGGTGTTGTTGTGTGACGGATGTGCGTCGACCAAATTGCTCTGGGTCAAGGAACGGGCCTGCAGAGCATTTTTTGTTTGGTGATTTGGTAAGAAGCAGGCGTCATGTGAGGTCCACACTATTCGGGGGAAATAAACGGTGCGGATACCGAAGGGAAACCGGAGCATGAACCCTCCTGCATGATGTCTTTGCTGCGTCCTCTGGCTGACTTTGTGATGCGCACGGGCGAAACATCCATTGTGGTGTTTGCCGTGGCTTCATCTGCCGGTGGCCCGCAGTATTCGGCGTTGTGTTACACCGAGACGACGCTGATGTTATTGGGCCTACTGTTTTTTCTCTTTTCTCTCCCGTTGGGCCGTGGATCTCTCACTGCGGCAACGACATGAACGTTGTGCAGCCATGCTTTGAGCGGTTTGCCTATATAAAACCGCCCTCTTGGTGTGCACCTGTCCCCTATGTATATATCTGTGCGTGTATCTGCATACAAGGAGAGAGGCAAGAGGGGTGGGAGGAGGTAAAGGAAGAGAGAGGGATTCCCGACGCGCATGGATGTGCTGAACCCAAATTCTTGGGAATCCGAGGGGAGATGGGGACCGGACCTAAGCGTGCAGTGCGGAGTTGGATGCATTTGTATGTGGCCGGGGAGGAGGCCGCGGGGGCGCCTAAATGAGGAAGGAGAGAATTGAAGGAATCTAAAAAGAGGTGTGGTGGCATCGAAGGGGTTGCGGTGACTCCGGTGTCTGTGTTCCTGTGCGTGTTCCGCATCATGTCCTTTTTTCTTCGACTCATCTCTCAACCAGGATGCAGCCACAGCACTAGAGTTGCGCACATGGATTACGCTTTTCCAGAGAAATATTTTAAGGTAGCACGTTTTTTTGACCATGAGTTTGGGGACATTGAGTCAACCGCACGGCTTGACGACAAGCAGAAGCTTCTTTTCTACGCTCTGCGGCAGCAGGCCGAGCATGGTCCATGCACGGGCGCGGCGCCGTCCATATGGTGGACGCGTGAGCGTATTAAGTACGATGCATGGAAGCAACTGGGCGACATGTCTAGATTTGAGGCGATGGTAAATTTTGTGAGGTTACTTGGGGAGTGTTTGGGGGGTGAAGTCAACTGGGTGGAGAAGTGCAAAGCTCTGGAGAACAACATTATCCATGCGGGTGAGAGCGAACCCTTTACGGCACCGGACGGAGGTGGCAGCACACATGCCCCAGGAGAGGAGGACACGTGGGACGATGATGTGCGTGCCCACCTGGAGCCCACCGTGGAGAATGTAAGATATTTGGCATCGCAGGTCATGCGGTTGCGACGTGAGGCACATCAACCGCGATTGTCGACGGCTGAAAAACAAACGAGGGAAGGTGTTGCTGTGCGTCTGGAGCCACCACCCATCAAAGCAGCAACGGGCAACGCGGGCTCTCCTCAGAAGGCAGTGCCGGTGCCGCCAGGAAGACCCGTCGCAAGGAGGAGTGGCAGCTTGTCGCCGCCGTCGCCACCGTTCTCCTGTCCGCCTAATAAAGTGACGCAGGCGTCGTTGGGAAGCCCTCGACTGCCTTCCCCATCCCCCGGGAGGCGGGGAATGGGCTGGGCGGAATGGCTTGGACTTATTTAGCGGGCAAGAGGGATAGGGAAGGAGAATGAAACGCCCCTTTGTGGAATGCATGACTGCGATCGAGACGTCGCTGTTCGCGTTTTTTTTTTGTTTCTTTTTGAATTAATTGACGCTGCCCTGTTCCTTGTGCTCCCGTTTGGGCAAATGAGTCTTTGGCCCGGACTGAGCGTGCCTTGAATGGTGCCCATGGGCTTTTTGGATGCGCTCTTTTATGGTGTTCCCTCTCTTGTGTACCCCTCTCCCACGACTATTTTCCCCTCGGCCTCATTTGCGTTTCTTTTTTTTTTTTGTCACGTCCAGTTGTGTTCGTACCTTGGCCCGATGGCAAGTGCACTGTAACGTCACGCCGACGTCAACGTCCACAAGGAACCACGAAAATACGAAGCGCGTGGTTGGCGTCTTTGCGGAGGGTGTGGCTGCAGGACCTTCTGAACCGACGAGTGTGGGGCGCGTTGATTGTGGGAAAGCGGTGGTTCCGTTCCCATGTTTCGCCGAAACAATTTTGCTTCATGCGCCTTCTTTGTTTGGGCGGCGCAAAGCCCGCACGACGCTGATTGGAGTCAACGGAATGCGTTCCGCTGGCGGGGGTGGGGCCCCACCATCTCTCGGGGGGACGGATTTCCCGAAGAAGAATGAAATTTGACGGCCGACGAGATGAAGAAGCCTGCGCTTCACGCAATAGAAAAGGTTCCGTGGGGACCCGAGCGCACCACGTGGAGATGCTTTTTTTTTTCCTCTCCCAGTTTGCCCACACAATGGCATGAACCCTTCTCCCGTGTCCGCTGATACAATTACTAAATAAGTGACAAGCCGCATGCATTATAAAATTTTGTCGCAGAAACCAAAGAGACAGTGATACCAAGGCGACTCGCCCACTCACGGCCTCCTCGGGATCGCCGAACCACACCGACAGCATGCAGCTCACGAAGCGCGCAACATTGTTGTTGTGCACGGTGTTATTCTATTTTTACGTTTGCGTGGGGTTTCCTATTGAATGCCGCTCTTTTGGTTAAAAGAAATACGCGACCGCCCGTCGCCACCAATTTCGGCACGAAAAGTCGGACACGATGCATGAATCCCTATTTTGTGCGTGTGGCCGCAGGTCTCCATTTGCGCTTTTATATCGATGATTTTGTTGCTTTTTTACTTTTGGGTGAATGGGCCTCTCCGTCCACTGTTTCCACGGCGTCTGGGGGGCGAGGTGGCATTGGACGGCAAAAGCGCCGCTTCTCCGCCAATGATCTCCTGTCGTGCTTTTGCTCACTGGCCCTCGCGCAAAGGAAGAACGGACGTGTTTCTCTATTACGAGGCCGATGCTGCAAAATGGGGACAGAAAGGCGCCCGAATTTGTCGGTTTTTTTTTTTTTTTAGCTTGTGCAAAGGATGTTCGCGGGGGAAGCTGGTCACCTAAATGAATATGTCCTGATAAAGTGGAGATGTTTCTGCACGATTCTTTTCCATCTTATGAATTTTTGGAAGGCGGTGATTGAAGGAACCAGGGAGCCGATAGCGACAAGACGGATTTTTTTTTACTTTTTATTTCTTATTTTCCCACCACCCCCTCTTTTTGATTCCCACCTCGCGGCGGGGCCTTGTGGCTGGCGGAGCCCAGGGTCTGCCACTTGGTATGCGATAGTATTTCCAATCCTAACAAGGTGCACCGTGTCGCGAGAGTGGCTATCGGAATATATTTACTTGGAGCAAACATCGAGGGAGTGGCGAACCCACTGCCTCTCCACTACTCCCCTTTTCTCTTCTTGTTTGATTTCTTTTGATGATTTCAGGATCCGGCCAGCAGCCCAGGCGAATATTTTTTTTTCATCGGGTTGGGTTTGTTTGTTGTGGGCATGTTATTTTTTTATTATTTTTTATTTTTGGATGTATTTGTATGACTTTTGTTGTTGTACAATTCTTTTCTTACGACATTGTGAGAAAAAAAGTGGGAGGGGGAGAATGTCTTTTTTTTTTTTTTACGCCGTGTGTCGGCCCGTAATGACTTTGCGGACTGGGGAGTTTACATTTGTCCATGTTCTTTGAGCCGAATTACATAAGTATGCATGCATGCGTATATATATATATATATGTGTTGTACGGGTAACGTGGAGGGGCAGGGCATTGGCGTATGTGTACGGTGAAACCTTCTTTCTCTTTTTTCTCTGGAAATGGTGGATGACTTCTTGACATGGTGGGGGAGACATGAAGAAACGAAGGTTTTCTTTTTTTTATTTTTTTTTTTGTCCTGTTGCAATGTACTCTCCGTTTTTTTTTTTTTTTTTTGAAATTAGTTTATTTATTTTATTTATTTTATTTTTTTTTTTTGTAATCCAATGGGAAATACTCTCCCGGCATGTTCGAATGGTGTGAGGAGGTTCCTCTCATACTTGGGATTGTTTTGTTGCTCATCCAAGCACCCTACGCGTGTTGTCATTGGTGGGGTCGAGTACAACGTTGAGCGGTTACTGGGGGAGGGGGGCAGCGCCTACGTGTACAAGGGCCGGGATACACGCTCCGGAAACTTAATTGCCCTTAAGCGGTTTACATTAAAGGATCATCAATACAAGACACAATGTATGGAGGAGGTGGCATTACATCGCTCATTATGTCCACACTCTTCCATTATTACATTTTATGACTCGGATATCGTGAAACGGCCAGGGCCTATTCTCCCAGAGCTTTGGATTGTTATGGAGCTTTCCGAAGCTCCTACGCTGGCAAATTATATCAATATACGCATGGCGGTGAAGCAGCCCTTTACGATTCGTGAGGTGTACGAGATCAGTCATGTTGTCGTGGGTGTCATTGCCCACATGCACAGCCAGTCGCCCCCGGTTTCTCACTGGGATATTAAAGCAGAGAATTTTCTTTTTGAGGACTCGCAAAATCTGAAACTGTGCGACTTTGGAAGTGCCTCACGTTTATATTATGAACCACAGAATGCGCTTCATGTCTCCATCGCCGAGGCGGAGTTGGGTGAACGCATGACGCTGCTTTACCGCCCACCCGAATCACTGGATCTTTGGTCACGGCAGCGGGTAGACACAAAGTGTGATGTATGGAGCCTGGGGGTTTTGATTTATTTACTGATTTTTTTTGAGATGCCCTTTGAGGCCAATGTCATGGAAATTATGGACGGCATCCCACGAAGATTTCGCGAGGGCAACTGGGAGGAGGTCCCCCGTGAGGAATTCAAGCCCGTGGTAGAAATTGTGAGAACAATGATGTTAGTGAAGGATCCGGTGAAGCGTGCGGACATTTTTGATGTCTCACAACGTCTCAGTGCGCTCTCCCACATCCCTCCCATCCCTCGTCCCAGGCCCGGGTACCAGCGTCCCCAGGATTCACGGTTTTAAGTAGAGAACGGTGCAAGACGACCTTCCGTACTTTTCTTTTTTCTTTTTTTTTTTTTTTACTTTTTTGTGCGTGTGCGTTTTTTTTTCCTTTTCTGTAGGGCTCGCATTTGACTTTCATGTGATAGTAATAAATATATATTTATGTGTGTGTGTGTGTGTGTTGATGCTTGTATAAACATGTGGTGCATTTTGAATTGGAAAGAGGGGAAAAAAAGAGAGGCCGAAAAAAAAAAAAAAAAAAAAAGGGGAGAGCCTTTTCACATGTGTTAATAATATATTATATATATTAAAGCCTGAGTTGTGTTTTCAATTTTTTTTTTTTTCTTTTTTGTTTTTGTTTTTGTTTTTTATGCAGGAATAAGGGCGGGTTTGGATACCATCGCACGGTGAAGAAGGCAATATTTTGTATACATGCACACAACCTGCACATGAGTCTGTAGGTAGGAAGCAAATGCTGCTGCTGCTGCTGCTGCTGGGGCAGGCAGGCAGGGAGGCAGGGAGGCAGAGAAAGAGAGGGATGACAGGCCGTCGCTGATGCCCCTTCTGCACACATCCATAATGGCCTCGCTTCATTGAAAGACAAGGCGGTTAAAAATTGTCATGGAGGAGGGTCATCTTTTCAACTTCGTCGTCGGTTCTCCAGTGAAGAACATGAAGATCTTCGGACTTATTGACGTTCTCATTGGTTGGCTTGCTAAGGCCTGAGGCATGTGAACACGGAAGGTGGAGATGGCATGACTTTTATTATTTATTTATTTTATTTTATCCTTATTTTTTTAATTGTGTTTGCATGTTGATTCCGCCTCCTCCCCCTCAAACACACACACACAAAAGCACATGCACACATGCACGAAATCCATTGTACCGTGGCTATTTTCTCACAAATCAACTTCTTCTTTACGTTCTCTCCCTCTCCCTCTGTCTCTCTCCCTTTTAATTTCTGCATCTAATTTTTAGTCCAGTCATCCAAGTGGAAGGTAAGAAGATCTGAACAATACATTTATAATAGTGTGAATTAGACATTTTTTTTATTATTAGTTTTCTTTTCTTTTTTCTTTTTCTTTTTCTTTTTCTTTGCCATTTTTCCCTTTCCAATGCATGTGGAGTTTCGTATTTCGTGCATTGAGAGGATATGCGCCTTTGATGCGGAGAGTTTTATTCGCATGCATCAACTGAGGGATCGTTCCCTGCAGGAGTTGGAGTCAAAGCGGGCGCTTGTCACACTGCCTGAAGGGGGCAGGCGTGCGAGGAGGTCGTTTCAGCCACATTTGAAGATCCAACTGGTCTTTGAGAATCTTGTCTGCATTGAGAGCTCCGTCTTTTGCGGCGAGGCGGAGCGACAACAGCATGAAAAGCAGGTGACAACAAACTGGGATGCCAGCGAGATACGCACAAAGCGATACTGCAGTTACACGGGAGAAGTCATTGTTGCCTCCCTCCCTATTTCTGTGGCGAAGCGACATTTAAAAATACGCCTTGTGCAACTTGTACCAGAGCTTAGTAGGGAAGAATACGCGTTTCTCAAGGCCTCCTACCCTTCCTTTTTTAATCTGCAGGATAACAGCCTTTGTATTGGGGTGGCAAAGATTGGTATGAGGGAACTTCTCATCACAAACGGAGGCGTCAGCGTGAAGCTGCAGCCCAAGCAGGGGATGATGTCAGCTGTGGAGGCCCGGAATCTTAACACCATTGCCACCAACGGTATGTTTGGGAGGGATGTTGGCGGAAGTGCCGTGTTGACAGTTCAGACTGCCAGCGTTGTTTTTGGTGAAAAGTCGCTACTGCCGTGGTTCACTCCTTCCCGCCGGAGTACGGGCGCCATGCCCGCATGCCCCTTCTCCACCGTCGCTCAGGGCGTGGATGGCACAGTCGTTGTACACGACAATGCCGAGACAAACGGGAGTGAGGCGAGAATTGCAGAACTGCGACAACAAATGAGTTCCCCGGTGGCTCACCTTTTGCTTGTGCCGTACATGGTATTCATTCATACCGTGCTCTGCCTGAGCGATGCCGTATCGTGGCGGCATACCACAAGGACGGCTCTGCTTCTTTGCATTGTCCTGTTTGTTTTTCTCACGGATGTGTTGGAGATGGGTCTCATGCTTGGTTTTCTTGTGGAGGTGATTTCTATAATACGGATGGCTGTTTTGTTTTATCGCATGCCTTCTCGAATGGATCGCAGCGTGGGCTCGGTCATTTCTTTGACGAAGCGGGGGGATGACTTTCAGGCGGTGCTGTACGGGTGCCAGAATCACGTCATCAACGGCATGGTACGTGCGCGACTTTTTTTTTCACAAGGCCTTTTGGCGGATTGCTACTTTGAGCTTGCCTTTTTGTTTTCTCGCATGCGTCGGGCCAAACGGTGGCTATTGCCGTGTGTTATGTCAACAATCACCGCCTCACTTGTTTTCTCCACGGAGTCGTTGTTGTTTCTTCTCCTCCTGGCGGCATTTCTCATCCACCCGCTGACGCTGCGTGTCCCTCCGTCCCACCTGCGTAAACTGTGGCGGCGTCAAATGTCATTGGGTGTTTTTTGGCAGGTACTGACGTTGTGTCGCCCCATGCGCGTGTCGCGGGTGGTGCTTGTCACGGAGGAGAGAGAGAGGAAGGGGCTACGAACGGGCTCGTTCTCCACCACGCCGTTTATCCCCCCCAGCCCAATGCGTAGCCTCATCACATTCCCTGCACCCGGCATATCGCAACACACGGCAGTGGAGGAGAATCGGCATCGTCGCACAGCATCGGTGAACGCATCACCGGAAAGGGAAGGCGGACAGTCCAGGCAGGCAGGCGACCGCGGTTCCTTGTCGCGCATGAATCCCCAAGCAGCAAGGCTCCTAAGCAATTCCGCCGCGGTAGATAAATCTTCTTTAAGCACGGCCATGAATAGTAACAATCATCTGGCGGCGCACTTGTCTTCCTCTAAAGTCTTTTCACGGTCTGTCGGTGACACGCTGAGAATTGACGCACAAACAAAGTCACTACTGAACTTTGCCATCATCGTCATCACGACGGAAGGAGCCCCCGTAAACGGCAATAAAATGGCCACCTCCAGCAGCAACGGCGGAAATGGGTTGATTGTTCAGAAATTTCGGCGCATTCTGCAGCGGGCGAGGGCGCTTGAACGTCCCCCACCACCCGAATCGCAGCGGGAACAATATCAGGCATATTTCAATTGTGTCATACCCTTCTTGCAGTTCTTGCGACGCCAATGCACATTGAAGGTGTACGTGACACCATCTTCTTCGTTAGGTTCCCTCCCCACGTTGGACACGGGGAAAATGGTGAGACTGGATCATTTGGCACATCTTTCCCACCTGGTGGACGAGGGAGAGGATGATGGGATCACGTCCACGCTGTTGGCTCATTCTTCTCAACAGGTGCTCGTGGGGCAGCTGCCACCTCTCGAGCATATTGATACCAGCGCTCGAGCCTTTGCTGTGCTGGCGGCATATTTACTCCAAGGCTCTCGTCTTTCCATCTACAGTAGACCGGGCAACAAAGGCTGTGGCATCATCATTCCTCTTAAAATGGGATCGAATGATATTGAATTGGCTCCGGAGCCAAATCCCTGTCCTCCATCTCTTCAGAAAGCATTGATCGACATCTGGAAGGGGTGGACAGATGAAGATGTCTCTATTTTTATCAATACAGATGTAGTTATGAATATTATTTCTACACAAAAGGAATTTCTGGGGGGCGATGGCAGTGATGGATTGTGTGCAAACGAGGACTATCAAAACATAATCATGGCATCCCAGGACGGTTGCAAGACGGCACGAGAGACGTCGAAGCGACTTTTTTCAACTTTTAGTGCAATTTCGTTGGGGTCTAAGCGGCAACGCGCTTTAAACGCTTCCCTTCAAAATCCCGAGGGCTCATTTGTCTTCTCGACGTTGGGTGGAAAAAGAACTTCAAAGGAGGGCGTAAGCCCTGTTGATGGGGAAAAACCACACAAAACCACTTCTGTTTTACCCGCAGGAAATCGCACATTTCACCAAGCGACGCGGTCGTGGGCCTACAGCCCACCCACCTTCGATAGTATGATTCCGCGTCAATTGTCGGTGCCGCGCTATGGCCTGGAGAATACTCATACTTGGGAGGAGGGGCTGGGAAGATCATCCAATGAAAGCACAAGGGCGGGGACTGAGGACGTGTCACCCGTGGCAGCTATGTCAGGCACATCCCGGGCAAAATAACCAGCACCGTACTGATTAAACCTGTATGTATTTTCTTGTTGTTTGTATTGCTAGCGGTTTGGTTGTAATTTTTATTGCTATTGATTTGTTGTTAGTGAATGTCTCTTATTATTTGTCTTTTATTTTCCCTGTGGTGTCTCTTTCTTTTTTTTTTCCTTTTTTTTTCCTTTTTTAAATTGTTGCCGGTCCGTCATGCTCCGTTTCTCCTTGGCTGACTGACGGAATGTATTCTGTCTGAAAAGGTGTCTTTACTACTGGCTCTTTTTAATTTTTTTCCCTTTTTTTTTTTTCTTTCTTTTTTCTTTTGTCTTTTGTGTGAGTGTCAAGAAATTACAACTGGGGGGGGGGCATTTATAATATTCTTTTTTCTTTGAAGTACGCGTTATCCAAATCGGAATATAAGGCACGGCACTATTGTCTTCATTGCCTAGGCCAAACTTCTTGCCAGCGCTACCGGTGCAAATGCCTTTCGGGCGGTGCCACTGTGGCTTTGATGTTATCTTTTTCCTTCGGGACGAAAGGCCACGAAGGCACCGTCGTTTGATGTGAGAAGGCATGAGGAAGGGGCATTGAAATGACATGCACCCCGAGGGCATGTCTAAAGGAGAGGGCCTCTTTTTTTTTTTTTTGGTGTGGCTCGCCAATGGCACGAGGTTTGGATGATGGGACTGCCGGAAAAAGGGATGGGAGCCCTAAAATTCCGCTTTGATGCGATTTTACCCAGAGTGCAGCTGCGCCGGCAACAAAGGGCTTGATAAGGGACGAAATGCGCTGAAGTCGCTGAAGAAATCAGAAAAAAAAAAAAAAAAAAAAAAAAGAGAACTCATCAGAAGTTGCTTAACGTTGGAACCGACAGTCTCAAGTCACTCCCAGCAGAGTAAAATAAAATAATAAATAATAATAAATACCGGCATGATACATGTGCGTTGTTCATGTATATAAATCGTTGACCGTGTCTTTTCCCCCTCCTCCTCCTCCTCCTCCTCTTCTTTAGAGGAGTTTAGCGACGTGAATGAATTAATGTGCCGTCTTTCTTTTTTTAAATTTTTCCTTCTCTTGTAACAGATTTAAGCAAGCAAGAAAAGGAAGAATTAGTGTAAAATTATTTTATTTTATTTTTGGTATTATTATTACTATTATTATTATTATTTTATTTTATTTTTCTTCTTCTTTTATTGTTGACGAGTTCCGCTCGGAGTAGAGACGAGTAACGAGAGCGAGGCGCGTATCCTGGAGCCCCTGCACGCTGTGGCACTGTTTGGCTTCTTTCACACACTCTTATCCTTCTCACCCCACAACCGGGGGCTAAACGGGAGAGTTTGAGCCGAAGGAAACCGTCACGGTCAATGAGTGCATCGGAGAATCACTGCCGCTTCCAAAAGGAGGTGGACAAATTTTTTGATGCGCTTCGAGAACGAACGCTGCGGGACCACCCGCAAGAATTATGTGAATATTTGATGGAGAACGTCAACAAAGTTGCAGCGGAATTGAGGGAGGAAGTGTGCGAACGCATCCCCGATGCCGTCTCACCGGAATTGCGAGGTCGGGCCCTCACCATCGTGGTACTCGGTGCAAGCGGGGACTTGGCCAAAAAGAAGACCTTTCCGGCGCTTTTTCAGTTGTACTGCAACGGCATGCTACCTCGGGATGTCAACATTCTCGGGTATGCCCGCTCCACAATGGAGGATGTGGAAAAGTGGAAAAAGGACACGCTTGCCGGATTCTTTACTCGTCTGGATGAGCGCGGATGTCATGTGGGTAACTTTTTGAGACGGATCAGTTACATGACCGGGTCGTATGATCGCGACGAGGACTTTGCACGCCTGAACGAGAGGATTCTTCAGATGGAAGAGGCCTTCCAGGGGCCGGAAAAGGGGGGAAATCGCCTTTTTTACCTTGCGCTGCCACCTTCCGTTTTTGTGGGCGTTTGCCGAGGTCTCAGCAAAGGGGCGATGCAAAAGCCGGAATTGGGTTGGGTCCGTCTCATTGTTGAGAAGCCCTTTGGCCGGGACACGGAGACCTCCGAGCAGCTCTCAAATCAGCTGAAGCCTCTCTTCAATGAACGCCAGGTATTCCGCATTGACCACTACTTGGGGAAGGAAATGGTGCAGAATATTATTGTCACTCGTTTTGCTAACCGCGTTTTTAGCGCGCTGTGGAACAG